CTGGGCTGGCGGGAGCAGGGCTGGCTGGCATCTGTGGGGTGACCACAGGCCTCTGCCTCTGTGCTGGTCTGCTGGAGTGCACCCCTCTGCCCAGGGCCACAGCCAGCCCAGAAACCTCTGGGCAGATGCAGCCCCACCCAGGCTCATGGCTAGGTGTAGGCTGGATTCTGGCCCCAATCACGCTCTCAGGCAGGCGCTCTGTGCAGGGCACATTCACATGTGGCAGCCATGTCTCCACCTCCACTCGTGGGCAGATGCAGCCCCACCCAGGCTCATGGCTAGGTGTAGGCTGGATTCTGGCCCCAATCATGCTCTCAGGCAGGCGCTCTGTGCAGGGCACATTCACATGTGGCAGCCATGTCTCCACCTCCACTCGAGAAGCCATCTCTTCATCCCTCCTCAGGGAGGGTGAACAAGGTGGTGCCTTTACTAGATTCCTAATGGGTTGGTGAGCAGCTTGCCAGGCCTTTGGAGAGCTGGAATGTGACTCTTCCAATGTGAGTACATAACACATGTGCTTCCAGAGTTCTGGCCAGTCTTCCACTTTTCTCTTTGCCTCCTTCCCTCAACTGGGGATGTGGCTGGAGAAGGAGCTGGAAAGGAGCCCCTTCCCTCTGTTTGTAGTCAGGCCTTGGCTCTGGGTGGATGGCAAAGAAGAGACCAGAAGGGGGAATCAGGGGAGGGGCTGAGGTTCTTTCAAACCATCCCAGTGCAGAACAGTTGAGGAATGTCAGGCTCAGGATCCGTTCTTTCTCACTCCTCTGATCCCCCCTTCCCAGGACGAGGTCGCGAGGCGTGCGGCCAGAGCTCTGGCTTCCCTGTCGGGCACTGAGTACCAAGTGGGCCCTACCTGCACCACTGTCTGTAAGTGTTTGCTGTATTTTTTAGTTATTTAGAAAGCACTTTGAGAAGAAACGAAATGGAGTGGGAGAGTGGCGAGTTATGCTGTCATCTGATTGCTTTTGTTGGTATTAGACTGAATTTATGTCAAGCCTAGGTGATAATAGCTGTTGCAGGCGGTTGTTTTCATCGACATCACCGCCACTATCAGGCCATTGATCATGTGCCCACGATGAGTTAAGTCCTGTCAGTGGGGTAGGGTCTGTGTTCCTCATCTTGTGTTAACGATCCTGATGTAGTTTATCGAAAATTCCACGAGCCCATCATTCACCCACCTTTGGGTTGGCAGACTGCAGGTGGGGGTGGGGAGACTCCCTCAACTTCCCATTGGAAATGAACAGCATTGGAGTATGGCAGGCTGGGGGAAGGGGTCCTCCCAACCATGGTTAGCATCTAGCTCCAGAAAAACCTGCCATGCCCCCAACTGAACCCGGTCTTGAGCCTTATTACCCACAACCTCATTTTGAGGAAATACCTTTGTTTTGGTTTCTCACTGAAATGTTTCATCTGAGCAATTCATTCGATTCCTGCTGAGATCCTTCAAGTTCCCTTATTCTGTGAGTGTGTCTTTGAATGTGCCTGTTGGAAAAAATACCGTACTTCAAGACCCGGCTTAACTGGGAAATGTAACCCTGGGAAGCACAGCTCTGATCCCTTTTAGGGTAGTGCCCTGCTTTTCCTTTCTCGTGCCTCCTCTGTACATAGTGTTCCACCATGGGTCCACTCTTGGAGTCCCTGAAGGTTCCTTTTCAGTACCGTAACTCACTCTCCCATCCTGATTCCCTCTCAACTTGCCTTCCTTCAAGACCTCCTCTTCTCCTTCCCACCTCCTGGGCCCTCCTCTGGACTCTGATCTCAACAGTCTTGTCTCTGTTCCTTATGCCACTGAGCTGCACAAAGCAGTTAGCGTGAAGTTTGGTGTTTGTGTTGCTAACTGCAGCAACAATCCAGTAATTATTCATGGTTTTTGTTATTTGTGGTGTTAAATGGGAACTCTTCAGAGAACACATCAGGAGAATTTCTCCACTCTTTGCCTAATTAGAACTGAGACCAAAGAGAGTTAGAAGAGACTTGATAGGAGCCCTCTGAGGAGGTCCTCTCCAAAGAACTTGTGTGTCACCAGGGTCCTGGCTTTTGGATCAAAAATCAATTTAAATAATGGTCCCCTCCTCCCACATCAATCACATTCTTCTTCCCAGCATGAAGAAACTCTCCTGCTCTTCTGAGAGTTGTCCAGGAAATGTAAAATTTCCTCGGTCTTTCAAGAGCCCCTCTTCTGTATTCTTTACAGGCCTTGTCTGCTCTCCTTGCTTTCCAAAAAAGCAACCAATTTTTGAGTGATAACATCCTCTCCAACCCCATTTATGGCATGTGCTACGTAAACAGTTGACGTTTGTCCCTTCAAGTGCTTGGCCTTTCCTTAGACTAACCATTTTAGATAACAATAATTCTCAAATGGATTTCTCACTTTCCTGCCTTCTTAAACAGAGCATGTAGAAGAGATATAAGCCCTTTTCTTCACGACCGAGCGGTCTTCTGAGCCTCAATTATTATATCCCGGAGACCTGCTATGCCGTGTCGGACTGCTGGCTCTCTCTGCTGAATAGCCCCAGCCTGTTTTTCTTCTTTAATTCTTGTGTCTGCTTTTTAGAGTTTTTATGTCTCCTTCCTCCTGTCAGACTGTCAGCAGTAGCTTGTACTGCTTTCAGGCCGCCTGCTTCTAGCAACCCTTTCCTCTCCTCTTCACTGATTCTGAACAACCTAAGGGCTTGGAAACAAGTTCTTTGGGCTCATCTGACTCTAGGATAAATCATGAGTATTAAGGATGATAATGACAGCATTATTTATAGGCACAAAAGACTGGTAAGCATCTAAAATGTCTATCAAAAGAGCACTGAATACATACACATTTGGCGTAATCATACAGTGAAACCCTATGCAGCCCTTAAACAAATGAGCTGGATCTATATGAGCAAATAGGGAATAATCTTCAATTGTTAATTGAAAAATACAGTGTGCAGAGCAGCATTGACACTATGTTCCTTTTTTTTTTTTAAAGAGTAGGTAGACTTTGAGCAGAGACCCCAATAAAGTAAAGTTCATGAACATGATCACTTTGATCAGCGGAAGTCATTTCGCCTCCTTCCTGAATCTTAAATGTGTTCTGAAATACTTGTGCTTGCTATAGAACCCCTAGAAACTTCTGGTACCATTGTCAGTTTTTTATTCAGCATTTTCTCAGGGTCGAGAAAAGCTCTGGGAACCACATGAGGATTTCAGAGAGTACAGCAGAGCCTGTTCCATATTCTCAGGGGACACGTCATCTCAGTGGAAGCAACATCTCTAGAAAAATCACAAATGCTATCATGAGAAACAACTCAGGAACAATGGATAAAAAAAAGGACCCATATTTTCGGCTCTGGGAACCACATGAGGATTTCAGAGAGTACAGCAGAGCCTGTTCCATATTCTCAGGGGGCACGTCATCTCAGTGGAAGCAACATCTCAAAAAAAATCACAAATGCTGTCATGAGAAACAACTCAGGAACAATGGATAAAAAAAAAGGACCCATATTTTCATTTAACAGACATGTTAATATACTCAATGGACCGGAATTAGGTTGGAGAAAGCATGGGTTTTATCATCAGATGGACCTGGATTTAAATTCCAGCTCTGCCATTTTCCATCTGTATTTCCTTAGATGAATTACCCATTCTGAGCGTGGATTTCCCCATCTGTAAAACAAGGACAATAAGGGCCGGCCCGGTGGCGCACTGGATGGTGCGCCGCTTGGGAAGCGCGGCGGCGCTCCCGTCCGAGGGTTCGGATCCCACATACAGACCGG